TCAAAGAAAAGTCTATACTATATAAAGTCCTTATCTATACTCAGGCCACTATAATAGAGGAAGGAGGCAATAACAACCATACATTTCTGCCTTTATGTGCTTGTTCACCACATCCCATGCAGACAAAATATCATCTGAATAGTCAAAGGTTTCTGTTTTATTTTTTCCTCATTAGTTGGCAATTCACATCTTTAAATCAAGCAGTTGGTTTGCCACCTTTTTACCAATTATTTTATCAAAGATTTACTGAATTGACTATGCAACGCAAACAGTAACTGGAATATTTTTATAACATTATTATAATTCTTACAAGTGAACCATTTTAATTCCTTGGATGTCAAGATTTATTTATATAATTCTCCAATATATACAGTGCCATTATATAAAGCTTTTTTTTGTCTTGTTTTTCTTTTAAGCCTCGACACCCTCACCTCAGAGGAGAGAGATTTTGAGATCAAGCAGGCAGATCTGAAAAAACACCTGACATTAACAGAAGTGGACGGGAAACCAACGTAAGTTTCGTTGTTGGACAATAAAAATATCTCAGATATTGGACTGTTTTGATTGAGAATTAAATTAAAAATAATTAAAAATTAATTAGAAAGGCTAAACCAGATTCACTGCAGGTTTGTCTTCATCCCGTATAGGACCGATTCCCATTACTTTAAAACACTGTTCACATCAGGAAATGTTGGCCAGCAATGCTGCATGTCCTTATTTGCTCTTTTTTAAGGTTGAGGAAAGTCAGACTTAATGCTGCGCTGCATGAGCTGTTTGTTCATTTCATCTGTGATGGATGATCGGAGCATTCAGCCGTATAGTTTGGACACTGGGGCACACATTAATACTGCGACTTGGTACACGCTCTTTGCATTTATTGGTTTAATTACACAAAATCCAAATTGTGGATAAGATGTGGAAAAAACACACTGGTTTACTTCTCAGCTGCTTTGTTACAAAGCACACACCAGATTTTTTCCCATATCAGGGTCAGTTAAGTTCTTCTAAACTCTGTTTTATTATTATCTTGGTTGAGTTTTCACATCAAGCCAGGCTTACAGTAATTTGGTTCAGATTTAACTTTTTGAAGCATCAGTAACTGTAGATCTGGAATGTAACACAATGTCTACACAGGCTGTGCAGTGAAGGCAGCATTTAAGCAGAGCAGCAGTAGCCAGTGTCTACACAGGATGCTTTCAGGCACAGTATTGAGTATAGGTCACCCAATGCACAATCATTGTAGTTACATATGTACAATATGAAAATAGACTTATTAAAATATACTTATAATACACATATGCTACTGTGCCTTGTCGTTCTGTATCTAGTGCAAAGTAAAGAGACTTTTGGTCTTGAAGACATTCTGCAATTCATCTTTCACCAGTTGAACTGATAATGTCTCCTGGTTCAGTGAACCAAGTCCCAGTTGCCTTTCTCTTAATACATCATGGGACCTGGATGACTAAGACTGTCTTTATAGACATTATACCAAATCCATATTAGAGGCAAAATTAAGCCATGATATAGATGTAAAAATATAATATAAAAAAGCATACAAATAAATGTCAAACACTGTGTGAATTAGAGCTAATAGAGTAAATCTAAGAAGCAGAATGTGTTTGTTTGTGTGTCAGTGTGTCTGGATGGACAGGCCAACCGCAGTCAGTGTGCCTGTTTCACAAAGGAGACCAGATTCTGGGAATTAATGACCTGCACACCAGCAGCGTGGAGGAGTTCAACATGTACCTCAGCAAGTCTCTCAAGAATGAGGTACGTCCACATTGTCAGTGTCGATGATACTGTCGCTTGCATGCGTCATTGAACGTGTGAGTAGAGAGATAAATGATCTCTCTTTTTAGGTGAAAGTGACCATCCTGCGTCTATCTGGATGCCCGCCTCTGCATTTGCCAAACATCCACTGCAGCAACTGACTGCAAACTCAGAGACAATACTTCCACTGTATGTCTTGGTGTGTTCGAATGACTCTCTGAGGCACTTCCTTTCTGTGAATGGTGGGTTTGTACCATGTATTTACCACTTTAGACAACTGACAGTATTTTCCCATGGCTGTGGGCACTTACTTTTGATCTGTCACTCTACCTAAATATCTAGAGGAGCTTAAAGTGTTGGAAAAAGGATAAAAAAAGAAGGATGTTTAAATGAATCTGGCACACATTATATATAAAAGATCAAATGCATTTTAGTTGCCAAGCACTTTTTGTGCAAACAATGACTTGCAGTTTTAACAGAGCATGATTCATGATATTTTTAGTTCATTGTGTACTGTGTTTACTGTAGATAACATGTCGTAAGCAGAAGGAAACAAAAGGCAAATGTTTTACCTAAACGTATTTCCTCATACTGCCTGTATGAGGATAAACTGAAATTGTGCAAGGCATGTAGTGTAAAAGTGAAATACGCACAACGTTACTGTATATATACTTACTATTAAACAACTATATTTTTACACTATACTAATAATCAAAATGTTTGTACACTTTAAACGCACATGAGATACTTTAGAACCATCAACTATCAACAAAGATCTTTTCTCTGGATCTAATGTGACTTCTGTAAGAACCTTATTTTTAATAATCAACTTTAAGATGATTAGATGATAAGTAGAAAGTGTTCGTAAGTGGTTTTAGGAACACAAAGATGATGTTGGGCATAAGACAGGACGCTCTGAATCAACATTTTTAATTCCAATGAAAAGAATGAAAAGATAACCAATGTTTCCATAAATATTCAAACTCCATTTCTGTCTTAGGACTTGAGCGAGAACTGAGTTGCACAACTATTGTGAATGTCATCACCCAGCAATGCTGATTCATTTCCAGCTAACTCAGTATGCGGCATTTATGATGACATTTCTTTGTAAGCCATGCCTGTCTAATGACGTCTTCTTCACAAAAGAGCACAAAAAGGATGTGCTGTATGTTAATATGTGTTTGGATTCATTAAAAGAAGGCAGATATAGATCTAAATTTAAACTGTCCTTTCCTTATTTATATCCAGAAGGCTTTGGCAGAAATTAGGAGTGGATGAATAACAAAAAGATTCATGAAGAGACCAGTATTTAAAGTTGTCCACACCTCAGGGAAAGTCTGGTGAATTAATATGCCGACAGAATGGTGTTTCACCTCAGGCTGTTTCACTCATTTCTCTCTGATTTGAAGCAGAAATGGTGACTCATAAACTACATTTCTGAAATGTAGTTTTATTGTAACTTGGGAAGATGGTTTTAATCCTTTTAAAATTATGTCTGCTGACCATTGCCACTCCCGAACAAAGACAACATGAAATGGAATTGATCTGCATGACATGACTTGATGGTGACTTAAAGTACTACAAACCATTCTGAGTTTTATATTTTAAAATGCTTTTTTAAATGTTGTCCACTGACCAATGTCCATAAAGGGCAAGGAAACGCGTGTCTCTAAACTCTGAAATGATATCTGACATTGTTAATATTCACACAAGTCCTTTTCCAATCACATCATATCAGGCTTTCCGAGTTCTGACAAAGAAATTATTCAGGACATCTACTTTTTTAAGGCCACTCTTCAACTGTGATGCTCAAGCTGTGCTGTATTGTAAATACGCTTTTTATATATAAATGCATTTTTCACAAGGGTGCAGCAAATGCAGGTTGTACTGAGACAATTAATCTGTGTTTTTATTTGTGAAATGATTATGAATAAACTTTTTCCAGATTGTTAAATCAATGAACATTTGTATTTCTTTCTCTAACAGCCTTATTTTTGTACTTAAGAATGTAAAGTACACCGCACATAAAACAGAGCAGGCTGCAGAGTTCACACAGCAACCTTACGTATATCATCTATTGGAATCATTACTAAAATTAAGCAATATAATTAAATTATTTCCACCTGATTTACTTCCAAAATTGACTAATAATTAAGTTTAAGCTTCTTTTCTGGCATAGTCCAGTTAAGTACGACACCTGAAGCCATTCTTACAGCGTTTTTGACCAGTTTCACATAACCTCTTTTTTTTTCTCTATACTATATTTTCTGTTGTCTAACAAGCTCTTTTTTTTATACACTGACAGAATCCTCCATGAATCCATGTGAACTTCATTATCTTTAAAAATCAGACACCAATAAAGCAAACATACTGTTCTGTGACTGAAATAGACACACATTTCAACAAGCGCCCCAGTCAATCCGGTTTCAGTTTGGCAAGACTTCATACATATAATTAATGCCCGAGGGAAGAACACGATACACCATTATTAGTAATGGTGCACTGGAAATGGTTTGCTCTGGGTGCAAATAGTAATAAACTGGTTATAACATAAGTCAAATAGTGAAGAGCATGATGATTTAAAATATGAAAAGAGGCAAGAGGTGTAATTAGATGCTGTGAGACGTTTTTAAAGCAGCGATTTCCAGATCAGCTAGCTACGCTAAGAATGACGCACTCATAACAAGTGATTCAGGGTTCATAAATATGCCAGGCAGCTCTTACGGTCCTCTTATGCAGGTGTTAATGGGAAAATATTTTCGGTGTTTAGAATCTAGAGTGTATGATTTTCCTCACTCTGGTCTCTGAGATTTAACAAACAACAGCTCAGGCAGATGGGATGATGTGAAGTTGTCCTACATGAAAAAAGAGAAATCATGCAGAGAAAAGCTGGTTTTATAAAGAATGAGATTCCGATCTATCTCTGTACCGCACGTCTCTGCCGTCTCAGAGATAAACTACTGAAAAACCTGAAAGCACTGTCTTCAAGACAAGATAGAATTTTCAAAGCCACTATGCAACAATGGCAGTCCTCCAACATTATATTAGCCCGCAGAGGCATTGATGGGGTTGCACAAATACATACTGTAGTGAAAAACCAGATATTGTCCTAAAGTGAAGAGAAAATAATAAAGCTCATGTTGAATTTCATGCACAATGATTTTTTCTTGACATGAAAAGAAATTAAAAGGTTAATGTTGCAAGAAAGTGTTAAAAAATGTTTTAAAACATTTATTTTTTTTTAACCTGAAAATTTAGATCACATAGAAAAATATACAGATAATTAAAAAATTGCACAATTTCAAAGCAGCACTTGCAGTATATTGTTGACAAACAATGTGGAAACAGTGGAAGTGGCCACAACACTCAGTAACCACATCCAATTTATTCAGTTCCGATGTATAATACTTTCGGATGGCACAGTGCTGATACATGTGGGACCTCAGGTCACATTCACACAAAACAGCTTCCAGAGTTGTCAGTTATTTTAGTTCAGTCTATTGTGAATAAAAGCACAACCTGGATAGTAAATTGATTCAAGAGCATATACTCGACCTTTTTTAAATCATGGATGCATTTCATGTTCACCTACTTCATCACAACCGCCTCGCTCTTACAGTGAAACTTCAGTGAAAGTAATAAAATGAGTAGTGTTCAAATGCTTTTGTTCCCCGTGGCCTTTCGGCATTCGAAGCATTGAGAATTAATTGGTTTTGCTCTTATTACCAACGAGCTGCAGAAAGGCCGGCTGCAAAAGCACCGTTTACTAATAGTTACAGTTTAGTTTTAGTTTCCATGAGCCACTCACTAAAGAACCTCTCCATAGCCTTCCTGCTATCCCATTTGCCGTTGTTGACTGTAGGGATGATCTTGAGGGGCTGGAGCCACTGGACGAAACGCTTCATCTCCAGAAAGCTGCTGTGTTCGCTGTACGGGATTCCTGAAAACAAGAACACAGAAGGGTTTGTCATCATCACGACTTATCAGCCTGCAGATAGCCCACGCTTTGTTTTTCCTGACAGGGTTATTTCCAAGTGTGGGTTGTAATTATCTTTTATCATTATCTAGCTTTCTATTTGTTAAGGAGACAAGTCCTGTAGAGGAAAACGCCAGCAGTGGTTTCGAACTGAACCAGAGGGACTTTTCAGACATGATTTTCACTTTCAATCAGCTCGTTCACTTTGATATTTTTCTTTCCAGTTTCCTTATAAGAAACACAAAGCTCAGTTTGGTTTGAGGTAAAAACTTGTCAGGGAACCAGATGTCTAAAAGTATGGGGATGATGTCAATCAGACAAGCAACAGGGAAAAGTCTTACAAGAGGGACCAGATGCTCAACAAAGCTACAGGCTCAGACTTCGTCCGATTTCAGATGCTGAAACATTGAAACTGTCATATGATTCATTTCTTTTGTTTTCGAGGAGAGAATAAGAAGACATCTAGGGACTGCTGCAGGAAAGCTGCTGCCTTTTGTTTGTCCTCGCTTCGCCCCTCCACAGGTTTGATGTGCTCCGCTGCTTTAAACAGCTATAGCTGAAACTAAGCCTGCTCAAGTATACAGTCAATCTTACCACATGCGGAGAACAATATTAGGAGCAGTAGTAGCATATGGCTGGGAAGAACAAGGAGGAGGAGACCCACGCAAAGCAAAGAGAGAGAGAGGGAGAGAAGAGAGAGAAGGGAAACAGACGGAGAGAGGAGGAGAGAGAGAGAGAGACAGAGAGAGAGAGAGAGAGAGTGCAAATTGGCTTCTGCCTGACTGACACACAAACTGCTGAGAAGGAAGAAATTATATGCAAGTGTGCATCGCAAAAGCCTCTTGCTGGTGATTGTAGGTTACAGGCCAGATGGCTGATGCTGTTGATGGATCTATTAAGAACATGGAACAGCGGACAGGAAGAAAAAAACTGGCTAAATTTGCAGCGGCAAATCAAGTCATGACCCATTTCAACACTGGGGTTTAACGCCTGGCTACTGTCCAGCAGTGCTGTCCAAGATACGGCATTCTCTTGATTATATCCCTCTCGTCACCAAGCTGAAGTAACTGAGCTGTGATCTATTGTTTATTCTCACACTCCCGTCTGACTCTCCCTCCCCTCCTTCCTCCTCCTCCTCCTCCTGTCTTTGCCAAAAGAGGGAGCTGTAGGCTAAATACAACAATGTGAGGAGCGTTCACGTTTTTGGCAGGAGAAAAATGCTGCTGTTGTAATTAAGTCTTAGCAACGTGTGGCAGGACGACATGGTTATTTACCATAATAAGGTTCTGCTTTTGGTAGGTAAAAGACAGGAGCGCATTAAAAACTTCAACACCTCCGCTCTTGCAGAAGAATTTAAATACTAAGAAACAGCAGTAACATTTATACTGAAAAGATTTACGAATGAAAAACATTTCACCTGTGATAGAGCGCGATCTTTTTTGGGCCTTATAGCAAAGTATTCAGTTAATACTCTCATGCAAATGTATGTTATTCCTCCTGACAATAACAAAACAAAACAAAACAAAAAGATTAGTGCATACCATAGATGGAGATGTTGCCACTGATCTGAGGCTGAATATCCTCCACCGATTCCACCTGCTGGCTGAAGGTCCAGCCTGTAGGCTTGAAGGCCACCAGCCGATCATACTGCCTTGAAAAGCGTGCCAGGTAATCCTGCAGTTTCTAAAGACGAGATGAGGAGGTTGACAAGGAGATGCAGAAGAGAGAAAAGAAATGCCCTATGTGAGCATGATCTCAGAGAACTCGTCACATGCTGATTAACTGAAATGCGTCAATGAAATCACTGTTGCTAGCAAACATACAAAGCTCTCTTCCAAAACATATATAGATAACATGTTTGTGCAGCTTTTGTGCTCCCAAGATTTGACCGTTTAAGAGCAGCACTGGGAAGAATCATCCTCAGATATCGACTACCTGGACCCTAGGTACACTCCAAACATGAAAAACAAGTTATTCACTTACGTTAACCTTGTGTCAGCTGATAACAAACCTGCATAGAGGTTATTCCCAATTTGCTATAAAATTAATGCAAACATTTAACTTAAAATGAGTTCTTATACAGTTTTATCTACACATTTATTTCAAGGTGACTTTCAAGGTGTTTTCCCAAGTTGTTGTAGCTCTTCTTGATAAAAACTGCTCAGAGATTCACTACACAAACATCTCACTGCAAACCTAAACCGCATCTATTTCCCCCCAAGTCAGCCTTTCTGTGCCTAGTGAGGCCTGAATTAACCAACTCTGGGACTTATCTGTAGTTATACAGATGGCACATTAAAATGCTTTTCCTTTTGGAAAGATGATGTGTTTGGTCATCATAATTAGCATTTCCTAATTATTTTTACTCCTGTCCTAGTTACTTGCATACAAATGGACTGTAAGCAGAATAGAGGACATGTGCACATCAAAATAAAGTGTCCAGAAATAATTTAAAACAACAGACCATTTGAGAAATAGTGTATAACTATAGTTTTATTCCCCTTCAACTTATCCAAATGCATGGACTTGCATGCAGTGGATAAAAAGAGTCTGATGTGATATATTTTCTGGTTGTTTTACTCCAAATCAGTGATGTTAAACATGCCCCTAAAATAGAACATTTTTTTATATTCCTGACGCCCCAGAGTCCCAGCCTAATAACTGTTCTTTTCAGATCAGTTAAAATGGATGTTTCAATGGAAAATGAGACTACTGCACCTACTTTAAAGGAGAGCTGCATCATGGGAAGCACGTGGACCTGGGCTGCCTTCCAGTCAGTGGTTATACGTTGTTTGACGTGCTCTGACTCCAGACAGCACATGGTGTTGTATTTGTCTCTAGAGAGGCACACTTTAGTCCCCAGGACCTCCGCTAGTGCTACGAATGAAGCAGAACAAGGTCCGTGTGAAAACCAGGAATGTGGGGAATTCAGCCAGCACGTACTTGCAGTTAAGAACCCCCTGTTGTTACCCCCCCCCCAAAGTAACAATTTGTACATTTTATTTCAGGATTAAGTTTATGCGCTCTAAAGAACTCCAGCCCAGTATTTTACTATACACCAACGTCGCACAACACATTGTACAAACTGTAAACTGTTGAATAACTATTTTTTTAAAACAAAGAAAAACTAAACAATCTGGATATATTTGATCATGTCCACTACTATGTAAAGTGTGTGTTTAAGAGCACAAACACTCCTGTGGAATAACAAGAGAACAAAGTGGCTGTCAGTTGAATCAGCTGTAGTACCGCCCCCCCCCCCTTTCAATTTCATGCAGAGATTGCAGAAGCAAAGGTGATTAGAGAATGAATGCATGCTGTCTGTTTGCTTCACTACGCCAAAGTGGAACAGACCATTATTCACAACATGCGTCAGAGGACTGTTTGCCTGTCCGCATGAGGACAACACATATTGAGTGGCTCTTTCCTCAAAACAGACTAATCCACCATTCTCCACACCGCTCCCACTTCAATACAAGACGTAATCTCGCATGACCTTTCAACGGGAGGAAAGGTCAGGTAGTGATACAAGGCTACAGAAGAAAATCCATTCATCTTACTAGTAGGTTTAGAAACAGACTTACTTTGTGTCTAACAGTTTGTGTTGGTGGCAGTTACTCACAATATCACCCAAACTTTGAGATGGGAATAAATACAATTTTACTGATGCCATTATTGATTCTGTTTATAGGTGGGGTTCTTTATCGATTTCCTTATTGTTTCCTGATCAATTGATAATGGACATGCTGCTCGATTGGGAAGTAGTGGCACTAACACATGACATTACTACCACTGTTGAAATGAAGACATTCTTTAGACAGTTGCTCCCTCTTGTTACAAGTTTCCAGCAGTGTAGATGCACAAGTTTGACGTGCATTTCAAATCTGTGGCATCAATAAAAGGAATTGATAAGCTTGAAGGCATACAATTCAGATGGATTAGACAATTTGAGAACGGGTTCTCAAGCCCCATCCCTACCAAGAGTTAAATGAATGAAATGACCATGTCATTTGCAGTAATATCATTAAAAAGATTAGAAAAAAAAAAAAAAAATTTAATTTTTGATTTTGTTTTGATTTTCTAATAGTTTGTAGTATAATAAGTCACCATCACATGAGCTACAATGCTTGGAGCTTTAATTTCACTTAAAAGATTATATGATGAGAAAATAATGTTTCTTTTTAATTTATGAAATCTTTTTTATCTTTATCTTTTTTCTTTATTATGTTGTTCGCATTCCTGATAAGGTTCAATTTTAAGAGTTTCAAGCAATAAAAAAAAAGCTAAAAAATGCTTTCACTATTCCCCTTCATCTATAAACAAAAGCAGATCACTCTTTGTAATAATTCATTGTAAATCATGCCAGGGTTGCCATGTCATTGATTTCAACTAAACACTCACCCAGAAAGACCTTCTCTTTTCCCACAGAATAGGATCCACACACCACAAGTGTACGTGGGTTGAGCGTCACCAATTCAAAGGCTGTGCTGGCTGCAAAATTGATGACCTCTTGCTGTCTGGGGAAAGTGTACTCAGGGCTGCAGTAGCTAGGGGGATAAAAGCTAACATTGAAAATCTGTACATGTTATATTGATTGGCTGAGAAGAGTCTTATTTATGGCAACTGCCCATAAAGGTCACACAGCTAAGAGTACTAACGTCGTGTCCAGGTACAGCGTCTGCACCCTGCAGCTGAGTAACTCTGGGTAGGTCTCCATCGAGGGATCAGCTCTGAAGTCTCCAGTGTGGAGGACGGTCTGTCCATCGGGCAGGAAGAAGAGCAGCATGGAAGCTCCTGGACAACTGAATGAACACACACAGGCAGCAGTTGAAGCTGGATATATGAACTATATTTCTCATTGTAGGATGAACTAGCATCTTCTTAGAAGCTCTAAAGGTTGACCATCACTAGTGTTAGGCTTGAATTCATGGCATACACTTTCAAAACTGAATATACTGAAGAAAATGGCTTGTGATACAGGGTTGGAGTAGCCGTAAAAAAAAGTCTATTAGTGAAAGAATAATTTAGATAATTAGCTTGGGGCTGTCTGAATTTAAGATGAGTGTCAGACATTCGACTGAAATTCAATCTGCTTCCATATCCTTTTTTAAAATGCTTGTTTTAAACTTGTATGATAATAAAGATACCCACAGTATCGATTTAAATCATTTTTTTAATGGTCTGGCTATAAGTGCATTTGTGTAAGGTCACTTCTTTAATAAAGCCTGTTAACAAGCCATCAAAAAGCCATAAACTATCAAGCCACTGTTAAGTAGCTGATTACTACTCGGTGGCTGATAATGACGTTATGGATGACTCACTGGTTGGCATCCAGGAGGATGACCTTGACTCCCTCCACAGTGACCTCGGTGTTCATGGGGAGGATGTGGATGTACTGCTCTGCCACCTTAAGTTTGGTCTTCACTAGATTTCCTGTAATCTGACCGGGAGACGACGCAGTATAGTTTACTTTTATACAGTCATGCAGCAGCAGCCACTATGCACCAGTCTCAGCTCTCATCACGTTGCTGCTCATTGACTAATTCACCCACAACACCCGTGAAATCATTTCTTCAGTGATTCTGATCATCTGATAACTTTTCTGGGCTATGACCCACCTAGCATCCAAGTTGAATTTCTGTGACCTACCAAATAAACAAAACCCCAATGGAGTCCTAATCAGTCCTTACAAGTCTGTTTTTAGTTGTGATCCCAAGAGGACACACACTCCACTGTGATAAATCATGACCCATTTGACAGGAGAACTTAATTAATATCCTGCATCTTTTGCCAATATATTTTAATCTAGATACTATCTATTGGGCTATTATGATTAGCTTCAGAGGTATGACTAATGTCTAAATGGGATATAATAGCCCATTAAGATAAAATGTACGATACCTGAAGTAATGTCTAATTTGAAGCTGAATTAAAATTTTGAATTAAAATTTTTTGTTTGGCAATAAATTGACCTCAGTTCATTCAGTTTATTGCTTAATTCACACCTTAATTGGTTGCAACGTTTGCACAGTGATAACTAAGACCCAGGCAAACTAAATTTGCTGGATATTAAATGTCTTTATCCAAAACTGTGTCAAAAAACCATAAAGGTCTTCACATTTCAATGAGCTCCAATATGGTCAGAGGCATTGGCGACTTGGTATTCATAACTGCCAACTGCAAGCTAATTTTTCATTACAATGCAGTCAATGCAGTGCACAGAGATAACAAATGGATCATGCATTTACTCTGTGAATTCTATGGAAGAGAGCAGTGAGGAAGCTTTTTAATGAGGGGCAAAATACTTTCAAAGAACTCATCGCTTCCATAGTATCCAAGGACTAACAGGCCTTTGGAGGGAGACTGCCATTTATTTACCCCACAACCCGTCAGACACATCACTGTTCCATTGTTTTCCAGTATGAATTAGACAAATGTAGAAATTGTGTGGGATGCAGTTTCAGCAGTGGACTAAAATTAAAACTGGGGTAAAAACCAACATCCATAACCTTCATGTCAAGAAAAATAGGCCAAAAATGGCAGTCTCATGTGGATCAAGTCATAAAATAATAATATAGTAATGTAATTGACTCCTAAAATACATTTGTGCAGCTCAACATATGGCTAGTAGATGCACAACCCAGACAGTATAAACCCCATACCAGATGAAATACATAGCAATACACCAGTTAAAGGAATTAAAATCATACTGTAATATATACATATTTCAAAATAGCCAAAACTTGACTTACTCTGTTACAGTAGATTGGTAATGTGGAGTTCTTGGTCAACCCTCCGTAGTGGTCTGAGTGGAAATGTGTGAGGAAGTAGGCAGTAATGCCCTCAATCTCTCCGTAATGAAAAGCATCTATGACAAACTTTGTACCTGAACAAAATCATATACAAATATCTTAGCACAGAATAATTCAACTTTAAATGTATGCAGCAATATGCGATATATGGTCACTCACTGACCTGGAATCTTCTTGTAGAAGGGACAACGTGGTAACTCTACTTCTCCATCAGCGTTCACTCTGTTCCACCTTCTTCCTCCTCTCCATCCTCTGGTCCTACCTCTCTCTGCTTCTCCCTGAGCGTTTGGTACATTATCTACAGTCACTGTACCCTGTGAGGTTTCTGCCGTTGTGTCAGCCTTACTTTTTCTTTGCCTTTCTCTCCTTGGTCGTCTCTGTCTTGAGTTTTCACCAAGTGTTGGAACAGAGGTGGAGTTGAGCTCATTCGGTCCACTCTCAGCCTCTTTCTCCTTCTCCTTCTCCTTGAGGGGTTTCAGGCCAAAAAACACCCCAATGTCTGTCTGCTTCAGACAGGACGCCTGACCTGCCTTGCTCTGGCCCTTCTGAGGCGCCATGGTGTGAGATCTTTGGACAGTGGAGGTTTGTAATGAAGGCACTTGAGAAGAAGTTGTGTGAGGTTGTTCTGATTGAACACTGTTGTCATTCAAGTTTCTTAAATGCTGGCTTGAGCTTAGGAGACTTTCTCTCAGGCGCTCTAAAACAATACTTTGTGGAGACTGAATGCTACTCTTACATGGACTGATGGCACTGGTAGATCTACTGGCAGCTTCTTTTTCACCTGTGGAATTTGATTTGTTTTCAGCAGCTGTAGAGGCAGCTAGCTGATTGGTGGGCTGTACTGACGTAAGTGACTTCAGCTGGGTGTTTAAGGAAGCATGCTCCTTTTCCTGCACAGTATTGGTTTCAAAGTTATCTATAAATTGAGACAGGAGCTCATCTTCACTTGAGAAACCGTCACTAAACAGCAACATCGAGTCTTCGCCTTCATTTCCAGATGCATCGTTATTAAAGAGGGCTTTTTTACATTCGCTGATTTGGACTTCGGCCTCTGCAGGGAACTCAGAAAGTGGAGAATAGGATATTGCATCATTGTCAGGGGATGGTTCACTTTTGGTAAAACCTTCACAAGCTTTTCTTCCACTCTCAGTCTTGACAGGAGTGGATGGAAGCTCTGTTCTACTTTCTTGGGAAGCACTAATAGACTTTTTAGTAGAGGACGACCAGCCTTTCTTTTTCTTAAAATCCTCTGGGGCAGGTGAACGCAGAAACCGAAGGCCGTTGGTGAGTTTAGGCGGAGGTGTTCCCGTCTGACTGTTGTGTGGGGATGCGGTACGACAGGATCGGGCAGAAAGACTGTCCTGTGAAGTCTCTAAAACAGAGCTATCCACCTCGTTTAACAGTCCGGGGAGACAACTGAGGCTGCTCTCCCTGCTGGTCTCTGCCTCTGCCTGCTGGGACAGACTGAGGAGGGCTGTGTCACTGTTTGCTCGACCGTGGGCCAGAAGTGTGTGGTTGAATTTCTTGTAATGGTTTGGAATGGTGGAGGAGCACCGGAGGCCATCGGGACATTCTGTGTGAACAGATAAAACTCGTTATTATATTATTATTACTATAAATTAGTCTCATGGCAGCAGGGTTCAAAAAGCACCTAAATACAAAATCTACTAAAAGAATTTGACAGTATTCAAAGACTTTGAGGTGCATTTTTTTTTTTTAAATGAGCACTAATCTGATTATCCACATTACTCACCATGAACAGACATACTCAAACAATTGTATTAAGTCTGCTGTGGCTCTTGGGGGAGCTTCCTAAGGCAAATAACACTGATTATGTCGTCATGGTTTTCTTGAACTGGGCTTGAGAATTTTGAACACAAAGCTCGTCTTAGACACTAGGGGACATTCACCAGTCAGGGAGGATCTGATGCCACTGCCGCATCGTGAGAATTATTGCCGGAATTATCAGTTTCCCTCTTGTAAATAAAGTAAAGTGTTATGCTCATTTTGAACATAGTTTTTTTTTTGTCTCTTGTGATACAATCTAATACATACATAGATAATTAGGGTTTCTGATGTGGATGATGTATGTTCTGTAAGTGAGGAGGAACGTGTATTTGGGATTGGTATCAAGTGAATCAGTCCTTTTCAGATCAAGCATATGAAGAAGTATAGGATGTATTGTACCTTTGCACGTGTCCCTGGGAGTGTCAAGACATTCAGCAACATGCCATCTTTGAGTCTGTACCACCAAAATGGAAAAGGGCATCTGACACATGGGGCAAAAGTCACCCGAGGATGATCCCTCAGCAGCAGCATTGTCTGTTTGCACTGTGCCATCAATGGGAGAAGACTTTGGGGACACACTGTGTGCTTTTAGACTGCTGTGTCCGTCTGTGTGAACACCAGTGGGGCAGTCTCCACTCTCAGCTGTCCTGCCAGGTGACTTGACCGAGCAAGAGGTGTCTCTCTTGGGGTTTTTTCTGGACGTGCATCTCCTGCTGGTGACAGGTGCAGGTGCAGACGGTGATTCGTGCACCTTTTTCTTCTTCTTCGGAAGAGGTTTGTACTCCCAAATGTCATTTTCGGAGTCGTCCTTCTGTGACATTTGGAGAAAAAAGGAGCGTAACGCCTATAATGTGACCCAGTGACCTCCTCGACACCCTGGTTATTACACAGGCTTTGACGTTTGATAACATCCCGCAGTCGCCGAAGAATAATACACAACACAGTAGATTAACGACTACTGTAAATATGAATGATACTGTAAAGGATAACTGTAGTTTCTCATAATTAATAGTTATAATATCGAGCTAGCATGCTGTTTCATGTTAACACTTACCGCCACAGGAAACAATGAATGTGGTAAAAGACAAGTAGAGGAACAGAGCAGCATATTCGCTACATATTTCGCGTTGTTAATTAATTAATTAATTGTTCGAATTAAAGACTGGAAAGAACAAATAAATTTAATGATAATTAATTTAGTTAAAGTCTGGAAAAAAAGCTTTCTTGTCTTTTTTTTTTTTTTAATTTTATCGTCGTGTCGAATCCGCGGTTGAATCTTTCTGAGTTTACCTCAGCTAGCTGGTAGATGTTGGAAACATGGCGTCCCAGTGCAGCCTCTCCACCTTATTTCCGATCCAGAGTGAGCTGGATTGCGCTGTAGAAGAAGCTCAGACACAACAAGAGAAAGAAAACCTCGTCTTCCAGTGTTTGAAAAAACTAGACGAGAGAGAGGATCTGAAGATACCCGATTTCCAGACAGGTTAGACCTTAATGTCGCAGCTCTCTCTGTCTCTCTCTCTCTGTCTCTCAAAGCAGTTTAACTTGAGTTTGCTAACACTACATGTCACTACAGGACTCGACATGTTCACACAGTGTGAATACTTCACAGTCAGGGTTTCTTCTCCTTTTTAAAAAGCCAACTCTGGCGGTTTTTCGCCATGTTTATGTGTGTTTCTCACAGTATCAAAAGCACTTCAACCACTAGTGTTTCTGTACATTAGAGATCTTATCTATACCCAAAACAGCCAGTGAGAGAGAGGAGGAGCATCAAAGACTCATTTAGATTAAATCAAGAGCAGCTGCTTTGGGTAGGAGGTTCAACTTTTTAAAAATACTTCTTGTGGTCTGTCCAAGTACTTTCTTAAGTGACCCAGTTTTTCTTTTATAACAGTGAATAGGTAATAACAATATTCTCTGTCTTTGTCTTCCTCAGGGACATGTCAACATGCTCCCCTGTAAAACCTTCATGTTATTTTCAATATGAAGCATTAACTTCCAATTTCAGTGGGAAATCTAACCTATAATACAGTTACAGTGTTGGTTATAGCAGAAACATAAGCAGGATTACTGTGCAGACCTCTGCTTCCTCAGTGGTTCAGTTCATCTAGGAATTTGTGTTTTAGTTTGTTTGTTTAACAGCAACAACAAAAGCATACAAATGGGAATAACATAACAGTTGTCTTTAGTGGCTGCTGTCGTAAGTGCACCAAATAATATGAATTGTGTCGGCGCGTGACTGAAAAATGAAAAGAGCTAAATTAAGAAAAGAATAATCTAATGCCTCTGTTGTCAACACTCCTGTTATATCTCATCACACCAGTAGATGGGGATCTACAGTAGAACATCAAATAGCTGAATAAATATATGTGTGTAGATGAAATGGGATTATATCTGGGCCCTTTAAACAACCCCTCAGGACAATTTTAAACTGCATAACAGACACATTTGAAATGTTTGTCTCTCTATATATTTAGCCAATTTGTGTTATATAGTTTTGGGGCTATCTCTCTCTCTCTATATGACATTACCTGACAAACAGGCAGCATGACGGCAAAAAGGAGTAGCTTACCTTGATTACAGAAAGTGAGTGCCTCCAGAGGGCACATACAACACGTCATTTGCTTTTTGTCACTATAACTGTGTAACTTGACCCATTCATTTCAGGATTACTTCCCATTTGCATGGTCAAAGATACTTAATAAGCATTATTTTCCTTGATCTCTCCTTCATGTAGACCTTAAATGAATACCAGCTCAGTGTTTAGACCACACAAATAAGGAAGGGGTTGTGAGATAATCCTGGCAGGCGTTTCCCTATGTTCACATTAAACTAAAGTAAAGCAGCATTTTGGGTACCAGAGAAGATTTGCAATCAGAGACTTTGAAAGAGCTATTTCTGCTTTCTCCCACTTGCATCATTGTTAAAGCCAGAAAAAAGACAGATTCTTCCTCTTTTTTTTTAAAATTAACCTTTGTTTAACAAGGTCAAGTGCAACTGAGATTAGAAGACTTTTCTAAGGAGACGTTGCAGAGCTAGGCAGCAGCATAAGTAAGACAAAGACTTTAAAACCGGCAGTAAAATATTCAGAGCAAATAACGAATGCTGTGTAGAGGGTAGAGTATTATTTTCTATTGCTTTCACGCTGGGTTTTGGTGCTCAGTATGCTGTAAAGCAAATGTATTAGTCAAGTGCATGTGAGTGTGACGAACATTATCAGACACAATCTGGAGTTCGTGCGAGGTAAATACGAAAACATTTATCAGACAATCTAGATCTACAGAAATTAATTTTAGGCATTGAATAGTTTCATAACACTTTAGAAGCTGTGAGCGCTTCCATGTCATTTCTTTTATCCATCAACGTTCTTACTCATGTGACATAAATCCAGTATCAGGCCTGACAGATAGACCCCTACAGTGATGGGCACTGTAAAGCCTTTGCCTACACTGTGACTAAACATAATTAATAAGATGACAGCATCATTTTCCACTCTTGTGATTTGCTCCAGGCTTGGAATGGCTGAACACGGAGGGGCCTCTGTCTTTGAACAAGGAGCTGGCTGGTAAAGTGGTGCTGCTGGACTTCTTTACTTACTGCTGCATCAACTGCATGCACATCCTGCCTGACCTTCACCAGCTAGAGAAGAAGCACTCTGTCAAAGGTATGGACTTACAAAAGCACACTCAACATGGCTTAAAGGGGTTGAGAGATTAGATTGATGCACAGAGTAATGCCATATCTCACAAGTTCATATAGCTAATTTACAATGCAAAAATCTTCCATTGTACACAGTAAAAACCCTATATGATGTGGAAAAATAAGACAGTCCTCCCTAAGTAGACTTCTCATAATCCTCCCGCTATTAAAGCTAAGCCGAAGCAAAGAAGCAATGTGTCAATGCATTAATAAGTGGAATTATGATAATGAGAGAAGATTTGATATTCATGTGAAGGCTGTTGTTACAAGGCACCTCGGAAAGCACAGTGGGTCTGAGCCATTTGGCAGAAGGGGGAAACTGGGGAACAAATACAAGGCGTTTGTCTTCTGTTTATTTGGGTTTGGTCTCTCACACTGAATTGTCAAGTGTGCCTATAATCCTGTTTATCAAGCACACACTGTCCCTTACCTGCCGAATTTGTTCAAAATTAAATATTTCTAAAAAGCAGCGCTGGCCTGAGTAGTACAGCTACAGTGGGCCTCGCATGAGTCAGTGGCCTGGCAGGCTTTACTGAGGGAACACAATTCCATTGATACCTTATTATGTGTCATGCTGCGTCACAGGAACATGTGTAAGTTCACTGGGGCAGAGAAGCTGTAGTACATCAACTCAACTTCTCCCCTCTTCTTTTCCATGAGCACGAGGGCTCTTATCTCAGCTGTGAAGAGAGAGTGACTAAAAATACTTCCAAGCTGCAGCGTCGTCAAGTACGGGGCCCATAATTGTACCCTGCTGTAGTTCACTGTATGGCTCTTTATATAGCCACTCCATGTTAAGCATAATCACATCCGACTGAGTCTGGCATCCTGCTGACCCTTCAAGGGATCATCTGAGGAAGTTGTGCAGCTTGAAATTCAGTGTGTGAGCCAGGCGGGACACAGAACACACACACTGCAGTGCCACCGCACATTATCGCACTCGCCTTATCTTTGGCACTGCTATGGGTACATTCTGTTTGCTGCTCTGGTCAGTGAGGTGTGGGAGCCACCCTGTCCAGTCACTCCCACAATCCATCCCCCCACACCCACCCACCCACCCATC